AAAAATATGGTGACGATTTGTTGAGCATCTTTGATCATTTTTGGGTTGTTTGACTACTTTTTATTCTTCGTCCACAAAGTCCGCCTGTAGGGGCACGCGCGCGGTCTAAATCTAGGACCCTTTCCCCTCAGGACCCGCCTGCTCCGTGTCGGTTTTCGGACGGTGCCCGCAGGTTCCAGGAGATTTTCACGCCTCGGGATGGTCTACGGCGGCTGCGCCTCGCCGAGGGCGTTCTGGGGGTGCACGAGTCGCCCCGAACGGCCAGTCGAGGCCCGAGTCATGACCAGAACTCCCCCCCTCGTCGTCGTCGTCGTCGTCGTCGTCGTCGTCGTCGTCGTCGTCGTCGTCGTCGTCGTCGTCCTCGTTTCTCCTCTTCCTTGTCCTCTTCCTCTTCCTCGTCCCCAATCTCCTTTCCTCAAAAAGCCCCTTCACGATCGCACCACCAGACATGTTGTCATGGAGGACTGGGCGTTGCGCTGGATAGTTCCTCAGTGTTTACGGTACTGAACCCTGACTTTCCCATCAGTTACACGGATGGAGGGCGGTCCGTTTTTCAAAATTGGGCTTTCGCCTTGGCGCCGCACACACACGCATACACATTAGTTTTGAACACTGGGACAGTTACACGTATCAACGGCCGTTTTTTGTCAAAATGGAATTCCCGCCTGAGACTTCTGCCGCAGTGATTATCACACGTGTTAAAGTTGTGCCGGGTGGAGGGTAGTTCTTTTTCAAAAGGGGTCTCGCTTGAGACGTCTCTAAATTGACGGATGCAGAGCGGCTTCTTTTCAAAGCGAGGTTGTCATTGGGTGTTTCCTTGAATTTTATGACCCCACCTTGTCGAATCATCGGCATCGCTCGGACGTGTGCATTTTTCTCGGCGAGCACCGTCGGGGAGCATCGTGGGCCACCTTGGCGACAAGTACGCGCACGACATCGAAGAACGCACAGGGAATTTACGTCCGAGCGATGGCCAGGACGGGCAGGGAGGCCGCCGGCTCCTCTTGTCAGGGGCTCGCAGAGGGGGGGATATCCCAAGGTGGGGCGAGTGTTGAGTCGGGCACGCCTCCCTACAGGAGGAATAGACAGAAATAGTCAAACAGGAGTCTGGGGACGAGTGTTCCATCATTTTTGGACCACCTTCGGGTATTTTTGTGGTATTTTTAAGGTCTCCGTCAACACCTGCCTGTAGGGGGACACGTCCGACCTCGAGCCCAGCTGGAGGCTCGTGTTTAGAGCGAGCCTCACAGCCCCACCTCTGCCCCTGCCCTACCTTTTTGCGCTCCCCCGATTGCGTCGACGGTCTCCGGACATCAAGTGGCCCTCGGGAGGCCCTCGGGATCCGAGGCGGGAGTCTATCCGTATCCGCCGCCTGAGGGGTCAGTGTGCGGAGCTTCGGCAGGCGGTAGATGTGGACATATTCGGGCCCCTGGGGGCCGAAACATATCCATATCCACCGCCCGCTGGGGCACCAGGACGTCGGTTCCCAGGCGGTGGATATGGATAAATCCCCGCCTCGCAGAGGAGGCCCCAGGAGGGCCAGAAGCGTCCAGCGGACCTCGATCCCCCCTCCTCGAGAGCCAGGAGGGGGCCGGGAATGTCCAGAGACTCGAACCTCTTTTCGGCGCGGCGAGCCCGGGGGGGAGAGTGAGAAGGGGCGGGCCTTTTCGGAAGGCTGGCTCGGAAGTTCCCCGGCCTTCTGAGAAGTTCCCCAATCATTGCTTGCACTGAAGGGGTCCCAGCGGAAATTGAAGGATTTGGCGGCCGGCTGAACTGGGTTCCCAGGCTCCCGATTCTGGGTTCCCGGGTTTTGGTCATTGGTTTTGCTCCGATTTCGGTGGGTTTCAGATTCCTTGGTTCCCGGGTTCCCGGCCGATCTCCTTATCGATCTCTTTATCGATCCCATGTCAAACCAATCATTGATTGGGATCTTTCTCTGGTGTAATTTTCTAAGCCTTCCCCGAAGACGCAGAAAGCCTCTCCGAAGGTCGGAGGCCTTCTGAGGTGCCCCGCCGCCTTCTGAGAGGGCCTCCTCATGGCGCCAACATCGCAGAGCGGATCTCGTTCTGAAAACGATGCAATGGGCCCAGAGTGTCCTGAGGAGAAGTTCGCTCCGGATTTCGAGGTGAATTTCGCGCGGAGTTTTTGGGCCAGGAATGAGGACTAAATTTTAACAAACATCCACGCGAAACTCACTTCGTTGTTCACTCGCCGCTTCGGGGTTTTGCACAGACAGAAATCCGCGCACAAAATCCGCTGCAGCACGTCTGCAAGGTCCTTCTCCTTCGCTTCTCCCCCCCTCTCATGAGGGAGAGAAACACACAGACACAGTTCATCCTCGATTCTCCAGAAAACATGGGAAAATGTGGGAAGTGGGGGGAAACCAATAACCAAGAAAGCATGCGAAAATATGGGGCATCCTGTTCTTTGTGTATATTGATTCGTGTGTCCCAGGGCCCCTCCGCCCTCGCTCACCGTCGATCCCTCCCCCCGTCCACAGGCAAGGAGGCCGCGGGCTCCCTCATCCCGAACGAGATCCTGGCGAGGGGCGAGCGCGCCCAGCGGAAGTTCCGGGAGGCCCTGGCGAAGGGCAAGCAGCAGCCCCGCACGCTGAAGGCCGCGGGGCCCCGCTGCTGCTGCTCGTCGTTGTCCTCCTCCTCCTCCTGCGTCCTGCTTGCTGTCTCCTCCTCCTCCTCCTCCTCCTCCTCCTCCTCCTCCTCGGTTCCCTCTCCTCCGAGGGCGCCATGTCCGCGCGGAGTGAGCCCAGACGGAGTGCTCGGCCTCCGTGTGGACCTGCTCCGTCTGGGCTTGGCCTCTCCCGGCTGGCTCTTGCCTTCTTCCTCCGATCTCTCACCGCCCACCAGACCACCCCAACCCAACCCGAAGGCTCCGATTTGCCCTCCATTTCCAGTGGGGGGGGGGTCGGGGAACACTGAAAAAACACATGGAACCCGTACCCCCCCCCAACCCGAAATTCGGGTCGAGTTCGGGTCTTCGGGTTGGGTTGGGGTGGTCTGGTAGGTAGCCAATCTCTCGTCGTAGATCCTCGCCATGGAGGGCCCTCGGATCCAGGCGCTGGGGAAGCACCGCAGCGCCCAGGTTTTTCCGTCGTCGGCGGCCTCTGGAGGCGGTTTCCCCTGCCCCGGGGCCGTCAAAGAGTCGACTCGGGATGAAGCGCCAGGCCTCTGGAAGTGGTGGAGATCCCCCAGGGGCCGACGTTGCGAGAAAGATGCGACGCCGGAGGCGAGGGGAGTACGGCCCCGAGGGAAGCAAGCGGTTCCTCGAGGTTCTTCCCTGTTCTCGGCCCCCTCGGGGCCTCGTCGTCGGGCCCCAGGGCCGTCAACAACACCGCCTGGGATGGGAAGTTGTTCTCTCCAGACGTATTCGCTGTCTTGCCGATCGGCGCGAGCCCTCGCCCCTCCCCCCCCCATGGAGTAGATCGTGGCTGTTTGTGGCGCCTGTTTCGAGCAGGTGGAGTCTCCCCCCACAGGACGCACTGCTGCAAACAGCCACAGTAAGCAGAGGTCTGGAGCCAGACGCCCCCCCCCCCTTCGGCCCGGGCCTTCGCAGAGGGCTCAGAAGGCCTCCAGCTCTTTGAGGAGCTCTGGAGGAGCCTTCCCCGAAGCCCTGCCCCCGCTCGCTGCCTCCCCCTCGGCTCGTCGCCCAGAGAGGCAGAGAGAGAGAGGCGCCAAGGGTGGGCCAGCGGTGGGCCGCCAGGTGATGTTCGTGGGCAGCGGCCGGGTGGGGAAGACCTCGACGCTGAAGTCGCTCTGCAACGAGGCCTGTCGTCGCCACGGCGGCGACTGCGCTGACACCGGAGGCTGCGGCGGCGGCGGCGAGGGCGTCGTCGTGGCCGAGGTCGTCGTCGTCGTCGTCGTCGTCGTCGTCGTCGCCGTCGTCGTCGTCGTCGTCGTCGTCGTCGTCGTCGTCGTCGTCGTCGTCGTCGTCGGCTCGCGCCGATGCCTCGGCTCTGCAGCGAGGCCTTCGGCGCACGTCGACGGCGCCGACGCCGACGAGAGCGACCACGACGCCGACGACGGCACACAACGGCGGCGGCAGCGAGGTCGTCGTCGTGGCCCTCATCTTCGTGGTCGTGGTCGTCGTTCTCACAGGGTCCATTTCGATCCGATCGATCCGATTCGATTCCGAAATCCCGACGGTCTGATGCGGCCCGACGCTCGTATGGCGCTGTTGTACACCTGGCGCGACAAGTCCAGCGCGGCTGATCCGATCGGATTTCGACCTCGTAGCGATACGGCCTGGTCTGGCGCACGTTCCGACCCGTTCCGATTTCCTGATCCGATGCCGACCGATCCCGCGGCGGCGGCGGGGTTGTCGCCAGGGTTCACAGATCGGAGAAGCGTCGCGCCTTTCATAAACGGACATTTGCGGGAGTCAGTGCAAGACTGTCGTGGTCGTGGTCGTGCCCGTGGCCGTCGTCGTGGTCGTGGTCGTGGTGGTCGCTCGAAGCAGAAGATGTGGGATGAGCAGAAACCTGCGGAGGTCTGCGCGGATTTCTTGGATTGGGATTTCACTCAGTTGCTGGAGTGTTACGGACCTCTTTGCCTCGTGACCCCACTCGTGGCCTTCTCCTTGACGTCTAGGGGTATCACTCGGTTTGCTCCGCGGCGGCCTGTGACCCTTAGTTCCTCGTGGCCTCTGCTTCGTTGCTTTCTTGTGGCGGCGCCCCGAGGTTGGCGCGCCAAGGCGCGGCGCCAGAGGCGCCTCCGGGGAGAGGAGGGTCCAGCGCCGATCCACGACATCCGCGCGGGCGCTCCGACGGTTTGCGCAGCGCCGCTCTTCCTTTTTCCGAACGACCGCGACCACGACCACGACCACGACCACGACCACGACCACGACCACGACCACGACCATGATCGCGACCACGACCGCGACCACGACCGCGACCACGATCGCGACCGCGACCGCGACCGCGACCGCGACCACGACCACGATCACGGCAACGCCGCTTTTTCTTCCTTCCGTCGTGGCCGCCGCCGCCGCCGCCGTGGCGGTCGTTGCCCAGCGCCCTCCGCTTCGCCCGGCGGAGGCCTTCGACGCCACCGAGGCGTCGACGCACGGCCTGGCGCGCGGCGTCTGCACCGCCACGGCCTCCCCCCGCGCGCGCGTGACGGGGTGGTGGGCGGAGGCAGGCGGCCCTCCCGTTGACGACGACGAGGGCCCATCTGTGGTGTCTGGAGCTGGAGTCAGTATGAGATCTTTGGGTGGTGGCACCCCACGGTAGGCCGGTAGGCAGGTGCCGTCATGGGTCTGATGGTCGTCGGGTATGTCGTAGAGAGACCACCCGGGTGCTCAAGCCGTACCAGGAATGTGCCTCGGAGGGACCCTGAGATCCAGGCGTTGCAGTTTTGTGTCACACTGGGCGTTTTCGCCCGGTGTCGCCTTGATTGCCTGCCTGGGCCGTCTGGGAGGCTCGGGACGCGGACACGCAATTTTTCGTTTGAGGGATCGTTGCCTCAGGACCGCGGGCCCATACTTCTTGCGAGGGATCGTGGCCTCGGGAGGGAGGGATGCGTGCCCCACTCTGCTGGAGGGGATGCTCCTTTGTAGCTTGCCAGAGCAGCACCTGGCATGACAGAAAGAGCGCTAGCGAGGCAGGGCTTCAGCCCCAATGGTGGGGGGGCAGGGGGGGCGTGGTGGGCCGCGATGACGGAAAGAGCGCTAGCGACAGGAGATCTGCACAGGGCTTTAGCCCCGAAGGGGGGTGGTCTTGGGGGGACGGCGTGGGCTGGGCGCGATTCGTAACACGTGCTTCGGGGGCCATGAGGGCGGCTTTTTCGGCCCAGGAGGGGGGGGGGCGGTTCCGGAACGGCCTAAGACCGCTCCAAGAATGCCCAAGACCGCGCAAGAGCGGTCCAGCATGGCCTACGATGGCCTCAAGACCGTCCAAGAGGGCCCACAGACGGCCCAAGAGGCCCTCAAGAGGCCCCCCAGAGGACCCCAGGAGGCCCAAAACATAGATTCCCTACCATCCTGTGGTGTTGGGTCCTCGTTTTGAAGAGCCAGCGCCCCGCGTTCCTTCTCCTCTCCTCCTTCCCTAGGGGTCTCATTGGGGTCCTTCCAGGGATGGTCTTGTCGCTTGTTCATTATTTTCAGGTCTAGAGAAGTTCGGATGCAACTCCTGGGAGGTCAAATTCTGTTTTCGCCCTGGTCCGACATCCGGCTTAATCCAGCTTGATCCCGTTTAATCAGGCTTAACCCCGCTGAATCCCGCTTAATCCGGCTTAATCCTGCTAAGTCCGAGGCCCACTCCGGCGTCACGGCTCCCAAATGGGGCTTAATCCTCCTTGATCTTTCCGACGAAACCCTCCCCGTAGTTGCCTTCTAAGAGAGGGTCTTACGACGGAATCGTCTTGGGGCCGTGCCTGGGAGGACCCGCGGGCGCCTTACGGACCGCAGTGGCGTACCATGGGGGCCCATGAGGCAGCCTCAGAGATACCGGTGACGGTCCCAAGAGGACCCTAGGGAGGAGGAGGAGGAGGAGGAGGAGGAGGAGGAGGAGGAGGAGGAGGAGGAGGAGGAGGAGAAGGAGGAGGAGGAGGAGGACAGCCCCAGCGGGTTCAAGGGCTCCAAAGAGGGCTTGGCGATGCCCTGAGATAACAGTCACAGCGGGCCCGATAACCCACGACAGCTTCAAATGGTTGCCTGGACAGCTTTCGCAAGCGTTCCCCTGTGCGTGAGCAGCTTTGGAGCACTCTTCGTGCTTCTGTTCTCTTCTCGTGATGTATTTGTCCGCGGGTCTCTGTCAGAGCCCTCCGCGGACCCCCCTTGCGACGCCCAGGTCCAGCACATAGAGCTCGGCCGCCAGACCTCCAGCTCGGCCGTGCCGAGCCGCCGCAGCAGCGGCGAGTGGAGGACCCTCCGCCTGGCTCCGCCCCTCCCTCGCGGCCCTCGCCGCCGCCGACGCCGCCGCCGTCGCCGCCGTCGTCGCCGTCTCTGTTGCCTTTGCCGTCGCCGTCGCCGTCGCCGTCGCCGTCGCAAGCGCCGTCGCCGTTGCCGCTGTCGCCGTCGCCGTCGCTTTCCAGAGGGCGTCCCAGTGCCGCCGCCCACAGTCGGGGCGAGTTTTTTTTGTGCGGATCGGCCGCCTGCCTTCCCGGGGGAGGCTTCGCTCCCGCGGCGCTGGCGTGGGCGGCGGCGGGGTCTGTGCACGTCTGATGCTCCCGACCAGGCCGACCTGGCCAGGGATCGGTGTGTGCGTGTGCGTGTGCGTGTGCGTGTGTGTGTGTGTGTGTGTGTGTGTGTGTGTGTGTGTTGGCCGCCCGCGCGCGCCTGCACTGTGCCGTTCGCTCGACTTGATCCGCCTCGTCGTTGCGCGCGAGGCCGCGACCGCCATAAGTGCGTGTGTGTGTGTGTGTGTGTGTGAGTGAGTGTGTGAGTGTGTGTGTGTGAGTGTGAGTGTGAGTGTGTGTGTGTGTGTGTGTGAGTTTTTTGTTTGTCGTGTGTGTGTGTGTGTGTGTGTGTGTGTGTGTGTGTGTGCGTGCGTGCGTGCGTGTGTGTGTGTGTGTGTGTGTGTGTGTGTGTGTGTGTGTGCATGTGTGTGTGAGTGTGTGTGTGTGTGTGCTGGGTTCTCGGGCGTCAGTTTTTGCGGCTGCCTCGCCGGCGCGGCGATCCATCGCTGGCCTGCACCGGCGCTTCCCCGCTGTTGGCTGCCCTCCTGCCCCAGCTGCGCCCGTCTGGGGCCGCCGCCCGCTGCCCCGCCACCGCCTGCCGCCCGCTGCCCGCCGCCTGCCCGCGGGTCCCCTCCCCCTCCAGCGCCTGCTTGGCGCCGCTGCGCCCGCTGCTCCCCCTCCACGGAGTGCCGCCCGCCGCCCCCAGCCACTGCCCCGCGAGGGGCTGAGGAGGAGGAGGAGGAGGAGGAGGAGGAGGAGGAGGAGGTGGAGGTGGAGGTAGAGGTGGAGGTGGTGGAGGAGGTGGAGGAGGAGGAGGAGGAGGAGGAGGAGGAGGAGGAGCGTCTCCCCCCTGCTCGTCTTCTGACTCCCAGGGCGTCCATGGGTGCCTCGCTCGGCCCGGCGGTAGTCTGCTGCACAGGGCGGGCGACTCTGAACGGCCGAGCGGCTCGTCGCCCCGCCCGCGTGCGCCCGAAGTGTGTGTGTGTGTGTGTGTGCCTCCCTGGCCAGTGCACACCGCTCGTGGGCCCAGGATGGGCCTGACAAGTCCTCTCCTCCTCCACCTCCTCCTCCTCCTCCTCCTCATATCCAGTTGGTCATCGTCATCCTATTTCTCACATCCTCTTCCTCTCAATTCCCTCCTCTTCCCTCCCCCTCCTGCCTCCATTCTCCCTCCTCCTCCTCCTCTCCCCCTCTCCTCCCTCCTCCCCTCATCCTCCTTCTGAGGCGCTGAGGCACTGATGGTCTGAGAGTCCGCCGGACGCGACCATCCCTCCCCCCCCAGGGCGTGTCGGCCCTTGGGGGGTTGGCAAAAACTAGGAGCCTGGCGACTCCTGGAGCGGTCGCTCCAGGAGTCGCCGGCTGTTGGAGTATTTGTGGGAGGTAGCAGTGAAAGACCGAAAGACCGAAGGAGGGACAGAGAGGAGGGAAAGGCGGAACACGAAGGAGACGGAGTGGGGTGACTAGTGGCGGCGTGGCGGTGAGAAGCTGTGGCTGTGCGTCGGGGGTCCACGCTCGCCAAGGTGGAAGGCGCAAAGGCACCTCTCCCCCTCTGCCCGTAGGACACCCCCACGGGCGTCCCCCAGTCCAACGACGAGTACCCTCACCTGCAAAGCAGGCGCAGGGTTCCCAGTACGTGGGGCTGGGAGCCGCCTAGGAGGTTCCACCGAGCGTAGGTGAGGTTTTTGCTTTCTGTGGCGGTGGCTACCCCAGTAGAAGCACCCCCCCCACCCATAGGTACCCGTCCCCCTCCACAGTTTGCGGTGCGATAGCGTGGCGCTAGGTTGGTGGAGGCGGAGTACTGGTGCCGTGCAGTGACTGGAGGGGGAGGGGAGTAGCAGCAAAAAGCGGCGAGGTAGATACGAGTGGCGTGAGGCGGGGCTGCGGGCCGCGGCCGCCCTTTCGCCGGATGGATGGCGGCATCTGTGTAACTACTCTGGCGGTTGCCTGCGAAGGCGCGGGGCAGGCGATGTAGATAAGAGTGGCGTGAGGCGGGGTAGTGCGAAAGACGGGACAAGAGACAGTGTGGCTGGCTCTCGGCGCTGCGGGTCGCGGCCACCCTTCCGCCAAGGTGGCTGACGGCATTTGTATACTTGCGGCCGCCGTTGGCTGCGAAGGCGCGATGGTTGGCATCCACATTGCCAGATGCGAGTGCAAGTGGCTGCCGCGGTTGGTTTGCACGGATGCGGTGGTTGGCTTGCATGTTGCGGGCCGCGGCCACCAAGGCCTTCGCCGTGGTGACCAGCGGTGAGCTTCTCCCACCTCCCCCCAACATAAACATAACACCAGCCGCCCATCCTGCCCATCCCGCCCCACAAGAGTGGTGAAGGTGAGGGTTAGATGGGCGGGAAGGGGGCGGAACATGCTAGAAGTGGGCAGCCAGGTGTGAGTGGGATGTTGGGCGAGAACTCTCAGTGGCCCAACTGATGGTACGATGGTAGATTCTTCGTGTCGCTGCTCCCGAGGCGCCACGACGGTGGGATTAGGGTGAACCCAAGAAACCGCGTGAGAGGACTCCGTCAATAGGCGGGGATCGTGACCATTGTGGGTGAGAATGTTGCGGCGGATGTTGGAGCCCAGTGTTACCGCACACCCGCAAGCATACGTCGCATAATGTGCGTCCATGGGCGAATTTGGTCGGCTAGGTAGTATACGTGTGTGAGAAAACAACGGCGGGTTTTGGAACGCTGTCTGACCTTGGACCCACTGCACGGCATAGCCTGTTGTAGGTGTAGACGCCGTGGTGATGTGCTGGTGCGGCCGCCGCGAGAGTATTCGAGGAGGTGTGAGTGTGCCGTCGTCAGAGACAACATGAGATAGATGTCGCAGGGGTGGTCAGTGCGAACCAACTTTTAATGCTGCTGGCTGTCCAGTGATTGCGGCTGTTTGTTGAAAGGATAGTTCCGAGAGAGGGATGTGGTGAAGAGCAGCTTGTCGCTCTAGTGGAGTATGCTGTCGGTCTGCTGGGGAAAAGCTTTTCAAAATTGGAGGTGGTGGGTGACGCACCGATGAGCCTCCTTTAGGCATGTCTCATCTTGAAGCGTGAGCCTCGTGTTGTTGTGGGTGACCAGGGGGGAGCTTTTGATCCGCCAGAGGTAGTCGACTATGCGGGCTGGTAGGCCTGTGCGAAAGGCGGCCACGGTGTCCACTGTGGCGTCACTTCCGCTTGGCTGGCGGTGTTGCTGCTTGCCAGCTGTTGGGATGGCGTCGGGTTGTGTCCAGTGTGATTGGTCTCGGAGGCGCCGATGGCCTTCTTCGCAGAGTAGTCCAAGTTGTCGTACCCGAGGTATGCCTCGTCCTCATTGTCGTCGTGCATCGCCTTCATGTCGGATATCAGCGGTGGGCACTTCGTGTCGTAAATGTCGTTGCCAGTAGTTTGGGTGTTGCCGCTCGTGATCATGATGCTAGTTGGGGCTGGCTTTGGCTTGGTAGTCTCGGTGACGGTCGCCAGCCAAGTGTGCTTCCACTCGATCAGGCGTCGGATTCGCTGGCTGGTGTCTCTCGTGTCGAGGGAGAGTTGCAGATCCCTGCTGAGGGTGTCGGTGATGGGGAGTAAGCCTTGACCCTGTGGGATGGACCCTGTCGGTGCTGGACCCGACCTCGTGGGCTCTGTGGCGCTGGCATTCTGTGACACGGTGTTCGGTTCTCCTGGCGTGCAGTGGTTGCCTGTGACGTCCCCCTCATCTGGTGATTCACCCTTATCGCTTTCGCCGTGAGTTGTCGGTTGCCCAGCGGTTTTGTTTGGTGGGGCAGCTCACTGGGCCTCGAGCAGGTCGTTGATCTTCTCTATGGCCCGGTTGGCGACCTCTCTGAAAGGTAGAGATCGCGAAACGCGCTGCTTCTGACGTAGGGTTGTTACGTATTCCAAGCTTGATGTGCGTGAGGAGGTCGGATCTCTCCCAAGCGGCCATCTGTGGTGTCGGTGGGTCCCTGAGGTCGTCGGCAATCGAGTAGGCGAGCATCGTGGCGAGCTGATGGTTGATGCAGTGAGCCAGGACGATTTGTTGGCGAGTCATCGTGAATGGGCGGGCTGGTGTGAGTGCTTCGTTGCCCATGAAGTTGTTCAGGGAGGCGGCGACGTAGGTTATCAGGACGTCGCATTCGCATTTCAGGCTGCGGTGTGGGTCTGTGCCCCAGTCGTAGCTATACTCCGGGTCGTCGATACTTGAGATGGCTTCCGAGATCATTTTGTGGACGGTTATCTTGAAAAGGGGAGTCGTTTTCTCGTAGTGGATGCTGCTGGTGTTGTCGGTCGGGCGCGCAATAGCGTCTTGCTGAAGGTATATTCCAGGGGATCCTGATCTCATGCCGATGTGCTCGATGGGTCGAGTGGCCTGCTCGTAGACGGTATCCATGTGCGGTCTGGTCAATGTTTTGGTGATGGACTTAGCAGGCGGTGGTTTGTAGGGCACCTGCGCTGGGGGTGTACTGCTGCTGCTCTGTGCGGTATGCCCGTCGTATGAGTTTGGTGCCGTCCTGCCCGAGTTTCCTGTCGTCAGTCATCCCGTGTACCCCTGCCTTGGCTGTCGTTGGCTGGGGCGCAGTGGCATTTATGTGGGGCTGGCGCCTTGGCAAGTACGACTGTTATCGGCGGTGCCTTGTAGCGTAGCCCAGCCTTTGGTGGAGCCTAGGCGCTGTGGTCGACGCCGTCGGTAGGTGTGCCGTCGGTGGCTGCCGTCGATGATGACGCTGTGGTTGCTGCCGTGGCTGGGTCGAGATCCTGGCATTGCTGTGACACCCCGTTGTGGTCGCCGGCCTGCTCCTCCTCCTCCCCCTCCTCCTCCTCCTCCTCCTCCTCCTCCTCCTCCTCCTCCTCCTCCTCCTCCTCCTCCCCTCCTCCCCTCCTCCCCCTCCTCCCCCTCCTCCCCCTCCTCCTCCTCCTCCTCCTCCTCCTCCTCCTCCTTCGCCTCCTCCTCCTCCTCGTCCTCCTCCCCCCTCCTCCTCCTCCTCCTCCTCCTCCTCCTCCTCCTCCTCCTCCTCCTCCTCCTCCGTCCCCTCCTCCCCTTCCCCAGCTTCGCCGTGCCCCTCGCGCCCCAGGAGGCTTCCGAACATGCAGGACTCCGACTTCGTGGACTCCAGCCTGGAGAATGCGGTGGCGCGCCACGTGGCGGCGGAGCTCATGCGGCCCAGCACGCGGGGCCGCGGGGACGAAGGGAGCGCCCGCCCGCTTGCGCGCACGCCGCACGGTGCGCCGCTGCTGCTTCTGCTGCTGCTTCTGCTGCGTTGTCGTCGTCGTCGTCGTCGTCGTCGTCGTCGTCGTCGTCGCTCGACGATGGAGGTTTCGAGGGTCCAGGAGCGAGGATCGGAGTTTCTTCTCGTCAGGAGCGACTGTCGAGGATGGATGACTGTGGCTGCGAGGGTCAGGGACCGAGGGGCGCAGTCTCTTTTAGTCTCCGGCCGTGCCCTGGCCTCTGGAGGCCTCCGAAGGCTAGCGGGGATCTCTCCAGCGGACCCCTGGGGAGCTCCCGCAACGGCTTCGGGGAAATCAGATGCGGAGAAAGCGATGTTGGCCAGCGGCCGTCGCCGTCGCCGCAGCCGCCATTGTACTGGGAGGAGAAGGAGGAGGAGGTGGAGGAGGGGGATGATGAAGATGAGGATGAGGATGAGGGTGAAAATGATGATGATGTTGCTGATGATGATGATGCTGATGATGATGCTGATGATGATGCTGATAATGATGATGGTCGCGATGATGATGATGCTGCTGATGATGATGAGGATGAGGATGATGCTGATACTGATGCTGATGATGATGATGCTGCTGACGAGGATGATGCTGGTGATGGCGATGCTGATGATGCTGATGCTGATGCTGATGGTGATGATTATGATCATGATGATGCAGATGCTGATGCTGATGCTGATGATGATGCTGATGATGAGGAGGAGGAGGAGGAGGGGGAGAAAGATGAGGCAGAGGAGACGGAGGAGGAGGAGGAGGAGGAGGAAGTGGAGCAGGTGGAGGAGCAGGAGGCGGAGGAGGAGGAGGAGGAGGACGAGGCGGAGGAGGAGGAGGAGGCGGTGGAGCAGGAGGCGGATGAGGATGATGATAATGATGCTGCTGATGGTGGTGATGCTGATGCTGATGCTCATGATGATGATACTGCTGCTGCTGCTGCTGCTGATGATGATGATGATGATGATGATGATGACACTGATGACGATGATGCTGATGATGGCGACGATGATGATGATGATGGTGATGCTGATGATACTGATGATGATGCTGATGCTGATGACGATGATGATGCTGATGATGCTGATGATGCTGACGATGATGATGCTGATGATGATGATGATGCTGATGATCACAATGATGATGCGGCTGATGATGATGCTGCTGCGGATGATGATGAGGACGGTGCCGATGATGCTGACGATTGTGATGATGATGCTGCTGCTGATGCTGATTATGCTGATGATGATGATGTTGCTGATGGTGATGATGATGCTGATGATGATGCAGATGATGACGACGACGCTGATGATGATGCTGATACGGCTGATGATGATGATGCTGATGCTGATGCTTATGATGATGCTGATGATGATGATGCTGATGATGATGCTGATGATGATGATGCTGACGATGCTGTTGATGGTGATGATGGTGATGATGATGAGGCTGCTGCTGCTGATGGTGTTGACGATGCTGATGATGATGATGATGATGATGCTGATGATGCTGACGATGATGACGACGACGGCGGCGATGACCACGACGATGCTGATGCTGATGATGATGATGATGCTGATGCTGATACTGATGCTGATACTGATGCTGCTGCTGATGATGATGCTGCTGCTACTGATGCTGCTGCTGATGATGATGATAGTGATGCTGATGAAGACGATGATGATGATGATGATGATGATGATGACGATGCTGATGCTGATGCTGATGATGATGATGATGATGTTGATGATCATGATGATGATGATGATGATGATGATGATGATGCTGGTGCTGATGATGATGGTGCTGACGATGCTGATGATGATGCTGATGCTGATGCTGATGCTGATGATGATGATTATGCTGATGCTGATGATGATGACGATTCTGATGATGATGATGATGATGATGATGATCATGCTGCTTATGATGATGATGATGATGATGATGATGATGATGATGATGATGCTGATGCTGATGATGATGATGACGACGATGCTGATGATGATGATGATGTTGTTGTTGATGATGATGATGATGGTGATGATGATGCTGATGATGCTGATGCTGATGCTGATGATGATGATGATGATGCTGATGCTGATGATGATGATGATGATGATGTTGTTGTTGTTGATGATGATGATGCTGATGATGATGATGATGATGATGACGGTGATGGTGATGATGATGATGATGAGATGATGATGATGATGATGCTGATGCTGATGATGGATGCTGATGATGCTGATGACGATGCTGATGACGATGATGATGATGATGATGATGATGATGCTGATGATGATGACGATGCTGATGATGATGATGATGATGATGATGATGCTGATGATGATGCTGATGATGATGATGATGATGAGATGATGATGATGATGATGATGATGATGATGATGATGATGATGATGATGATGATGATGATGATGAGATGATGATGATGATGATGATGATGATGACGATGACGATGCTGATGATGCTGAGGACGAGGAGGAGGAGGAGGAGGAGGAGGAGGAGGAGGAGGAGGGGGGGAGGGAGGGGGGGGGGAGGAGAGGGGAGGAGAGGCGGGGGAGGAGGAGGAGGGAGGAGGAGGAGGAGGAGGAGGTGGCGGAGGCGGAGGCGGAGGAGGGGAGGAGGAGGAGGAGGAGGAAGAGGAGGAGGAGGAGGAGGAGGAGGAGGAGGAGGAGGAGGAGGAGGAGAGTGGAGGAGGAGGAGGAGGAATGGGAGGAGGTGGAGGAGGAGGAGGATGAGGAGGAGGAGTTTGACCTGTGTAAACCCAAGAGTCATCAACGATGTGGGAATAAACCCTCCCTCCAAGCTCCCTCTTCATAGGCCGCTACAGCGGTTGATTTCCATTGAGGGGGCTGCCTCGTTCGAAGACAACCGTTGGAAGACCCTGAGGCATGCCAACGCGTTGTTCTCGGGATTCCAATGCCACGGACAAACTCGACTGTTGCGTCTTGACGTTACTGAATGGTTCCAGAAAGCCACCCCAGGGACTTCAACACAACGAGCCAACGTAACTGTTGCACCCGCATGACCCTGAGTCCTCTTAAAACGAATTTTGTGGCACGTGGATGATGGGAACCCGTGGAACTCTTGCAGATTGTTAACAAGAGTGTTCGCCGCGCTAGGACGAGAACCACATTTTGAAAACAACCCGCCCTCAATCCGTGAAGCTTTGGCATTTTTTTAAACGAATATGCGCCGCGCTAAGGCGAGAGCCACACTGTGAAAACAACCCGCCCTCTAAGGCGAGAGCCACATTTTGAAAACCACCCGCCCTTCATCTGTGAAGCTGTTGCCAATGTTTAAGTTTTAGAGTCATAAGCGGTGAAGCAGTCTCAAATGAAACGCCCAGACCGCCTTATAAACAGGCTTCGGGGTGCGACAGGGATAGGTTATTTATACGGAAAAGGAATGAAGGATGAGGAGGCGGAGGAAGAGGAGGAAGAGGAGGATGAGGAAGAGGAGGAGGAGGAGGAGGAGGAGGAGGAGAAGGAGGAGGAGGAGGAGGAGGAGGAGGAGGAGGAGGAGGAGGAGGAGGATGAGGCGGAAGAGAAGGAGGAGGAGGAGGAGGAGGAGGAGGAGGAGGAGGAGGCCCACGACTCATCCTTCACACCCGCATCACAGTTACTTTCCTTATTCCCTCTGTGCTTACATTCCCGAGCGCAGGTTCCGCAGGGACCTCAGGTGAAGATATTGTTCCTGACCACACCTCTTCCAGGACAGCGTCTACGCCTGCACAGTACCAATTGCAGGGCCGTTGTGGCCAAGCACTACATCGGTTTCGACGACTACGTCTTGCGTCCACGCAGGCCAGTTCACGACGACCACGTCGATTACCAACCCTGCCTGGCGCCGCAGGTGACGGAAAAAGAGAGCTGCAGCACGCGCGTTCTTGTGAGTAGCGTCGGCACGTGACCGGCTCGACCAGCACACGCACCGCGAGTTCGACTTAACACGTCAGCTGCTACAGCCTCGCCGCAATGCGCAGCAGCCACTGCGGCGTCGACCTTGAGCTCCAACCATGGCGACGTCATGGGGTACAGCTGCGACTGGATCGGGATCGGCGTTGCCACCATGGAGGTCATAATCGAGCCGCCCACGAATCAGGCCATCTACGCTGAGATCTACCATGCTGACAATTGGAGCAGGTCTCGCGCGCTTGAAGAGCCGCAACTGGACTGAGCAGTGGGCCGAGCACCCCGACAAGAACTGGGGCCGTACCTACGGCCACAACAGCAAAACCCTGGACAAGAATAGTGCAGCAGGACTACCTACTGCAGACGCCGTGGCGCAGATCGCCTTCGCCAAGGCCATTATCTTCAACGGCGTGGCCCTGGCGCGATAGATTATGTCGGGGCAGCGACTCAGACCATTGAGCACTATTGCGAACGCGTCAGGAACAACTTGCGAATAATGCAGGCCTACATGGGCGAGTTCGAGAACAAGTCCGAGGAACTCGCCATTATCCCGCAGGGCATCAGAAACGCAAGGGACTACCGTTGCAGCGACGACGAGGCCGCAGGCCGACGGGCCCCGCTGTGAATTGCAACGAGGATCCCCATCCCAGCGCCGAGAAGGCTGTCGAAGGCCAGGGGGGCCGCAGAGGGTCGCGACGTCAGCGCGCTGCCCGGGGGCCTCAAGGAGGAGAACCAACGCGTGGCTCGCGACATCGCGAAGAGCAGGACCGACGCCAACAGAGATCCAGGACTCAAGGAACCACTTCCGAAAGGCAGGAGAAGAAGCTGGCCGACACTTGGAAGAAACCAGGGCACAACAACGAGCTTCTGACCGATGTCCAGAGCGCTTAGCAGACGCCCGAGAAGATCGTATCGCGCCGCGAGTGCGCGCAAGTGCGGCAGAAGGCAGCGCTCGAAAAAAGGCCGAGGAGGGGCTGGGGGGGGCATCGGGGGGGCCGGCGCCGACGATCGCATCCAACGCGCGCCTTCGATTGAGAGGCTGAAGGATGATCTTCAAGAAACGCGTGAGACGTTCGCCGACCGCAACGCCGATCGAGCCAACGTGGCGAAGCAGTTCAGAGGGCGGCAAATCTTTCGGACGAAAGACCAAGGTGCTACAACATGACCATGGATGCTGAGCAGCAGGTCGCCCGCGCGCGTGAACGACCGCGAAAAAAAGGCAGTGCGCATCGAAGCCGCCGTCTAGCGCGCGCAAGGAGGATACCGGCGACGAGTGATTGACGGGGGGCGTCTAGTTGGGGCCAGGGGCGCTGAGCAGGTGCGACAGCAGAATCGCTACCTGCGTAGAGCACTCGCCGACGCGAGCGCGCGCGAGCAGCAGGCGCACCGCAACTCTCGACAGGCTGAGGGGCGGGTTCAACTCGAGGAACGGAGGGCGGAAGTCGGCTCGGCAGAGCGGCGTCATGCGCTGCGACAAGAGATGCGCATCCATCGCCGATGGGGGGGGGCTCGCGGAGGAACGCGAGAGGCGCCCGCGAGAAGCGCGCCGAGGAGGCGACCGAAGAGCGCCGTCGAGCCTGAGCGCGCCGAGGATTGCTCCGAGGCCCAAGGACGCCTTGGGAACGTGGAGATTGGGGATGCCCGGCAGGCCTTCAACGCGGCCGCTGCTACCGGCGACGAGGATTTGCATCAATTCCTACCACTGGTGCCGCCTGTGCTGCGACGTCCGCTGGGGGTCGGGATCGCGCCGCCATGGCAATCGCAGTCCGACGGCGTGCCGAGGGGGAAGGACGTGCGCGCGGCTCTCGCGGCTTTCTCTTCGCAGCCAGTCGAACGCCGGCTCTCGCGGCTCTCTCCTCGCAGCCAGTCGAACGCGACGGGCGAGCCGCGCGTCGCATTTCTACCCCGGCGAGGTCGACGTGGGCGCCGAGAACGCCGCGGGCGGCGCGCGCTCGGAGTGGCGGGCGGGGCTGGCCGACGCCGTTTGCAGGGGCCGACGGCAGCGTGCTTCCAGTTCAACCCGGCCCACCTATGCCCCGTCGCCATTCGCGAGGAGGCACGACGGCGTCGCGCCGACTGAGCAGATGACGCCGCGAGCTATCAGCCCACAGCGACGCTTCATTGGCGCACCTGGCAGGGGCTCGTCGTCGCCGCAAGCCCGCAAGCACCCGGCCCTACCCGCAAGAAGCTCAAGAGATAGAGAGGTGGCTACCGACACGAAAGAGCCGTGCGTCACTGTTCCTGCGTCGCCTGACGCCAGCGCGCCGACCGACCTTGCCACCAGCTACGACGCACCCGAGGCAGGTGGAGACCCATCATCCACCGGGCCCCATCTGGCGGTGTCGACGCGGCGACTTGCGAGGAAGAGTCCTCGCCGCACATGGCGAGTCTGGGGCACAATTGCGCGCGTCTGGCACAGGCGGGCCATGGCCGACTCGGGCGGCCAGACCAAGCTGGCAGAGGGCCTCGCGGGAGACGCCGACCTGGGTCGTGTGGCGACCACGAGCATTTGCCAGCGGCCAAACCCTGGCGCGACGTAAACCATGCTGGCAACCGACCAGCGCGAAATCAAGCGTCGGGGGCTGCGGCCGACGGGCCCACAGCCAAAGCGCATGCTAGCGGGCCAAGCAGACGACGGCTCCGCTCCCTGGCCACCGTGGGAAGTCGTATACAAGCAGTGCCGCAAGGACCAGCAGCTTGACAAAGCCAGGCAAATCAAGGCGCTCCCCCTTGATTGCCCACAACCAAAGGGCTAACGCCTTTCGGTGGGGCCCGCCTTGCAGCGGCCCGTCAGCGCGCCCGCCTCCTCCTGTAGCATTCGCAGTTATACCAGATTTTTGCTCCGCGACAGACAGGTGCCTTGCGCCAGCTGCTGCGTTCCGACTCCTTACCTCTGCGCTATTCTTGACCACAAGTGCGAAATCGCCGACAGGAACGGCGGCGGCGCAGCTGGTCGTGCGATCTCCAGACTCGCCCTCCGACGGCAGCAGAAAAGGGACTCCTACGGGCCTCAGCGCGCGGCGACGACGTCAGAAACAGCTCTGCCTCGTAGTGGGCTCTCGAGGGGCATTCTCACCCACCAGCTATGCTAGCGCACCCCACGCGTCAGCAGAGATGAGGCCTCGGCGTGCGTCGACAACGACAGTAGAAACTAGTCTACCTACCGGATCCCCGCGGGGCAATCTCACCCACGAACTATGCTACCTCACCCGACGTACATGCTGAAATATGGCCTCCACCAACCTCCAACTTTCCCTACATCCGAGCTTTGTCGCAGCCCCGCTGCCCCCGCCTCATCTCGCTAGCGTCGCTGCCCCCCCTCCTGTTGTGGCGGCGGGGTTGGACTGCCTCGGTGGCGGGGCGAGCAAATGGGGGCCCGCCGCAGGCCCGCGCGGCAAGGGTCGGTGAGGCCGTGGTCAGGCAGCCGCAGACGTGCGTTTTGGCAGTCGCCCCTCGTCCCACCTCCATTCCACCACCCTGGTTTCTAGCGGCAGCGGCTGCGACCTTCGGTGGCCTGCCATAACGAAAACAGGGCGACGGGCTATCATTCAGGGGTGGGGGACTACAACGTACAGAGCGCCACTGCTCAGGATGGCGGACATCTCCCCCGAGCGCGGTGGACCCCCCCCAAGCGGCCGCCGCTCCTGCGTGCCAAGGGAGGGTGCAGGTCACGTGGATGGTGGGCGCTTCTGGGGGGTTTCTTATACGCAGGGGGCGAGGCCCTTATGCCATCCACCGGGGCGAGAGTGGTCGCCCGCCCCTCTCGGCGAGAGTGGGAGGTCCAACCGCCGCACACGGGGGCGCGACCCTCCCCAGCGCCAGGGCCAATGTGCTGGGAGCCTTGCGCCTGTCTCAGGTAATGCATCTCGCCTTTGACCCTTGAGGCGCCAGGGTGAGGTTCCCACGAGCAGATGGAGAGGCCCTTGTGCCCTCCGCGCCGGCGAGCGTGGACAGGCACCGCGAGGCAGCGAAACGCCAAGGAACCGGGGAGGAGGCGAGGAAGAGAATAGGCCACGGGAACGGGCAGGAAGGAATCCAGATATTCACTTTAGATAGAAGAATCCGCAGAAAACAGCGCTTCAAGATCTCGATCTCTAGTCTCTGAAACCTCGCAGCGGATGCGAGGCGAGCGGGGTCCAGAAGATAACAGTTTTCAAACAAATTGGAAAACACTCCTCGTTCGAACAATTTTTCTGAAGCGACAGGGAATGCAAGAGAAAATATCACCTTTAATATAGGAGTTCAATAACGTGACGATCGTGACGACGGCCACCACGAGGAGCAGGAGAGACCAGCCGCCACAATGCCAGCGCGCCGCCAACCTACCCGCCTCATCCCTTCCACCACGTCCCAACCTGCGCTTCCATTGTTTAATCATCGGCACCTGTTCACTTTGTTTAAAGCAGAAACTGCAGCAGTGCGACTTGGCTTGCGGCCATCAGGGCACGCACGCAGCCACCAGGGCATCCACCAGCAGGCCACTGCCACGCCTGTGTTTCCTCGCTCCCGCAACCTTTCGCTGCCGGCCAAAAGTGACGCGCCTGCCAACTCTCAGCCCCCCCCGCCTCGCTTTTGACTAAACTTTGCACCTCCACGGAGGGGGGCTCTGGGGCGCCCTGGTGCACATCCCCCTCTCTTTATCCTTTCTCCTGCGGCTATGATTTGTTAGTTGTAAGCCTCCCCCCTTCTCTCCTCTTTCCTCCATGTCAGTCGTCCTGCGTCTGCATGGCACTTCCCCCGCAGCCGGTGGGCTTTCGGTTGAGCAGCCCCCAGGGCCGACCCATCCTGGGTGGTGGGTGGCAGTCGGAGATTTCCAACGCTGTCAGGAAGCAGGAGTCGGGAAGAAGGGGGGAGGCGGAAGGTGCAGGAGGGGGAGGAGGAGGAAACCTTGGCTGCCGTCGCCATTCGCCGTCGTCCTGCTGCTGCTGCTGTTGCTTCTCGCCGCCGCCGCCCGTCCCGCCGGGGGGGCGGCGTGGCGAGCTCGTGGCGTCGGGCACGTGGGGCGCAGGCGTGGCGCAGCTGTTCCTCCTGGTATTTTGCCTGATAGCTTCGTCGTCGTCGTCGTCGTCGTCGTCCTCGCCGTCGTCGTCGTCATCGTCGTCGTCGTCGTCGTCGTCGCCGTCATCGCTCTTTCTTATCTTTCGGAGGGCACCAGGTATACACCGACACCGATCCTGGCCAGGCCGATCCTGGGACCAAGATCGGTGTGTGTGTGTGTGTGTGTTTGTGTGTGTGCGCGTGTGTGTGTGTGTGTGTGTGTGTGTGTGTGTTTGTGTGCGTTTCTGTTCTTTTCTGCCGAAGCCGGGATGTCGCATACACCGATCTTGGGCCCCCAAATGGCTTTGTCCAGGATTGATATCGGTGTACGACCCTCGCTCCCTCCCTCCCTCCCTCTTGTTCTGCTCCTGCTGTTCGCGAGGTATCTGCTGATTCGCCCAAACACCTCATTTGACCCTCCGCCTCGTCTCCTCGTCCCGCCCTCCTCCCTCCTGCTCCTGCTCCTCCTCCTCCCCCCTCCTGTGTGGCGCGGCGGCCCCCAGGAAGCCATCCTCGTGTTCCGCCTCGACCGCGGCCGAGGACGCCGACGACAGACGCGCCGCGGATGGCTGCGGCGGCGGACGGACGACGGCGACGACGAAGTCGGCTTACGGCGACGGCGGCGGCGGCAATGATGGCGGCGGCGGACGATGGTGACGCCGACGCCGACGCTGCCGGCGGCGGCGTCGTCGTTTCGAGGGTTTGTGCGGCGTTGCTGGCAGTTCCCGTCGTTGCGGCTGCGCGGAGCTCGGGATCCTGGCCAGGATGCCCCCCCGAGAGGTGTTGGGTGATCCTTCTGCGGTGGACGCTGGGCGGAAGATGGCCGCGGCGGCGGCGGGGGCGAAGACGGCAGCGGCGGCGACGACTACGACGACGACGACGAGGGCGGCGGCGGCGGCGGGGCTTCCAGAAGCCGAAGGGCCGACGTCTCGCCTCCTCGCAGGGTCCACGTCGATCGGGTCGATCCGATTCGAAATCCAGGCTGGCCCGATGATATTCGATTCCGATGTTCCGGCGAATGGTTGCGGCCCGACGGTTGCAGGGCTCGTTTCTGCATCCTGGTGCGGCAGAATCGATTCCATTCCGGCTCCGTGCTGATGAGGCCAGATTCGATGCGCGTTTTGATGCGGTCCGATTTCCCAGCTCGATGCCGACCGATCCTGACGGACGGCCAGCGGGGACCGGCGGAGTTGAGGCGAGGGCGGAAGCACATCGGGGGTGGCACAGAGGGGGGTGATGACAAGGGGTGGTGGATATCATGGCATGGGCCATGATATTTCCCCAGATTTCATAGCGCCTCTTCTTATTTCATTACGTCCCTGGCCCCCCCTTGGGCCGCGCACATGCCGCCGGCCATGATTTGCACCCCCCCTCTTGGACGCCCCCCTCTTGGCCGCCCCCGAGTACAGTGTGGCCCTCCAAGAGAGGCCAGCGCAAGGTGCCCAGGGTTTCTGCAGTCTCTTCAGCTGCGCTGCCGCGCGGGTCGCGCCTTGGGGGGGGTGCGCGGCACAGGGCTGTGGCGCGGCGCGGCGGGGTCGCTGCTTCGCGGGGGTCCTTTTCGAATTTTTTTGTTCGGGAGCTCGGCGGGGGGAGCCCAGGAAGTGCCACCTCTTGGAGGCTTGTGCCAGCCCGCGATCCTCGATCCTCGAATCCTGTGTCCTCGAAGCCTCGGACCTCGAACCGTTCGAACCTCGATCCTCGATCCGCGATCCTGGATCCTCGAAGCCTCGAGCTTCGAACCTCGATTTTCGATCCACGACCCTCGAAGCCTCGATCCTCGAACGCTCGATCCTCGATATCTCGATCCTCGGGTGCTCGAGGCCTCGAAGCCACGACCCCCTCGATCCTCTGAGCCACGATCCTCGAGGAGACGCCTCGGGCCTCGAGGCCTCGAAGCCTCGATCCTCGAATCCTGGAAGCCACAAGACTTGAGTCGGGCCCGTCCCTCTACAGGAGGAATACTCAGAAATAGTCAACAAATAATCAGGGGACTATTTTTGGAGCCTTTTTCTGCCATTTTGGAGTATTTTTGGAGTATTTTCAATTTTTCGTCGAAGATCCCCCTGCAGGAGGACACGCCCGACTCAACACGAGGCCTCGAGGCCACGAGCCCCCTCGCAGCCGCCGAGCCCCCCGGGCGCGGCGACGGCGGCGGCCCTGGGCGCGCCCCGAGCCTCAGGACGGGCGGCGCAGCGCCGGCTCCCGCCCCGGCGGCGCCGTGGAGGAGCTGCCCCAGCTGGACCGGCCCAGCGGCTGGGCCCCCGTGATCAGGCGCGGCGGCCCCGGCCCACTGCGCCAGGGGCGCAGGGGCCATATATTCGGAGGTGGGTGGACCTCAAGCCCTGGCACGTCGACGAGCGAGTTGGGCGTCTTCGGTTTGCGAGAGGGCGTCGCGGCCGTCATTTTTGCGGGTCCAGGTCCGTCGGTTTCGGTCCCAGGCCGTTTTTTTTGAAGGGGAGGTTTACGAAAGGGAGGTTTGTCCACCGCCGAAGCGGATGGGGCTATGCTCAGGTCGGGCCTGTCCCTCTACAGGGGGGAGAATTCAAACATAGTGCAAATCTTGGCTGGGGGGCGATTTTTTTGACCATTTCTGAGTTTTTTTGGGGGGCATGTTTGGGGTATTTCTTCATTTTTGACCAAAATCCGCCCGTAGGCGGACAGGCCCGACCTGAGGCTATGCTCAGGTCGGGCCCGTCCCTCTGCAGCAGCAGGAAGCCAAGCATCCGGCAGGATGCGTAGGAGGAAGGGAGCGCTTGGCTGCTCTTCGTGAGAAGGAAGCATGCGCAGGATGCGCCGCAGAAAATTGTCGCGGGCTTCGACCTCTCGGGGGGGGGCACGTCGTGAGAAAAAGGGCACGTCCTCGGATCTGTGGGCACCTCCCTGGGAGACCCAGCTGCTCCGACGCCCCTCTCGAGGGATCGTCGGTACGACTGGTCCCCCCCCCCTGCTCTCCACTCTTCAGGCGGGCCTGTCCCTCTACAGGAGGAAGATCCTTCCACATGCCTGGAGGAGGCAGGGGGGGGAGGGCGCGGAGGGATAGCTGCATGCACTGTGTCAATGCATGCGCTTCTTTGCCCCACTGCTGCCGCGGCCGGCCGCGCTTTCCGCTTGCTGCCGCGGCTGGCCTGTCCTCTACAGGCGGACTCTTCGAAGTTTTTTTTTTTTTTTTTTTTTTTTTTTTTTTTTTTTTTTTTTTTTTTTTTTTTTTTTTTTTTTAAAAAAAAAAGAGCATTTGTTGAATCTATTTTTAATCACTCTTTTTTATTTTCGTCCAAAGTCCGCGGGTAGGAGGACATGCGCGACATTAGGTTATGCGCGCACCTCTAGGCTTCCCAGACGGGGTAGGAGCAGATGGGGTCGGAGGATCGCGCCGTTCCGCCGATGCATCGCCGATGCGGCTCGATGTGGAACCCGATTTTCTTCACGTCGACGTCGCCGATGCATCGCCGACGTCGACAATGCATCGCTGGTGCATCGCGGATACATCGCCGATGCATTGCCGATGCATCGCCGAAGTATCGGCGATGCGGCGCCATCCTCCGACCCCATCTACTCCGATCCCATCTAGGAGGCCTCTAATGAACGAATGGTCTATGCGCGCAATGCGGGGGCCCCCAAACACTGTGGTGACCACACCGCGTGGTGGGTCAGTGGGGCTTCGGGGTCACCGCACAGTTTTGGGGCTCGAGTCGTTCTCCGAGGGAGTCTCGGGCGACTGGGGC